GCGCTGGCCCCACGGGGCGGGCACTGACTTGGGTTTCTCTCCCCACAGGTCGGAGGAGACGCCCCACATGAGGTAGTGCTGCCCGTCCTTCAGGCGTAGGGCCTCTCTGCACTTGACGTGGCTGATGAACCTGCGCTCCTGCCCGGCCTGCACCTCATCGGAGCCTGGGGTGGAGAGGAAGGGGTGCTGAGCTGCGGGTCCGAGTGGGGGGCCAGAGGGGAGCAGGGGGAAGGACGAGCGCCCTGCTGACCTGACTTGATGACCTGCTGGATGGTCATTACGTACTCGTCGAAGTCGTCGGACAGGTCCATCCTGAGCAGCTTGGTCTTGTACACTGTGGGGTGGAGGGGGCCGTGTGGGTCGTGGGTGGGGCCGACGGTCGGGTCCCCAGCCCCAAGCAGAGCCACGTGGGGTCACAGCCAGTCGCAGAGTCCACCCCACGAACACCCACCACCAGGCAGGGCCACATAGTCACAGCCCACACACCCTTTGCAGAGGCGCAAGGGACAGCCGCCCACAGGGACGGTCACGTGCAAAGGGCCGGCGCCGATGCACACGGGCGTCTAGGGCAAGGCCACGCAGCCACAGTCACATGCGGCCATGCACAGCCCCAGCTAGACGCATCCAGTCACCCGCCAGCACAGCGGTACACAGCCAGCTTCACGACCACGGCCCTGCACGGCCGCCTCTTACCACACGCTCGTGCATAGATCACTTACAACCACAAAGCCTTGGCCGCTCACACACACACACACACATGGGCTCACAGCCAGTCACGCACACGACCACACCCGACGCCACGCAGCCGGCACACACAGCCACACGAGCACGCCCCCCGTCGCACACTCACCATAGTCTACCCCGGGCTCGCAGGCTTTTTCCAGCCGGTCATCCAGGGTGACCTTCTCGTCCACCCGGTGCATGAAGCAGTTTTCTGCGGGGACGGAGGAGACGCAGTCTGACTCCTCCTCCTCACCCAGGACTGCAGTAGAACTGGGGGGGGCAGCCCCCGCCCACCGAGCCCGGCACCCACCCTCCGCACAACGGCACAGGTCCTTGTGACACAGCTTGCTTAACATCCCATCCTCCTTCTCCGGGTGGTAGAACCGGGTGCAGGTCTCATCTGAGTGCAGAGGAGACGGGGAGGTGTCAGGGCACCGGGCCTCCGCCCCAGACAGCACACTGCGCTCCTGCCCAGCAGACCTGGAGGTGCCAGGTCCCCGACCCTCAGAGCTTAACTGTCCGGTCTTTGGGAGCCTCCAACCCTGGGGTCTTCAAACCTGCAACTTGCAAATCCTTAAGACCCCCAGTTCTCAGAGCTTTAGGACTCTCAGAGCCCTCAGACCCCAGGCCCATCAGCCCCTAGGACCTGGCACCTCTGACCCCAACCCACAGATCCCTGGGGCCCTCACACCCCCCCACCCCAGATTGCAAATCCTTAAACCCTCAGTTCTCCAACTCTCAGACCCATAGGAATCTCAGACCCCAATCCTCAAATCACTGAAATTCTCACACCCTCAGCTCACAGACCCCTGGGACTGTCAGAACCTTAGCATACAGAGAGCCCCCAACTTTCTGGGACCTTCAGACCTTTGAGACTCTACGACCCCCAGGGTCCCACAGGCTCCCTGGAGCACTTAGACCTGGGTCCCGGCTTTCCTGCTCACCGAGGTTGTAGTAGGAGTAGACTTTCACGGAGCCAGGCTGGATGAGCCCCACGTTGAAATACTGATGTATTTTGAAGGACAGACATTCTTCCTCAGAGTGTGAGATCTGAGAAGAAGAGGCGGGTCGGTGGGAGACACGGGAATTGGCAGCTGGAGCCGTGGGGGAGAAATCCAAGGGTCGAGGGGAGAAGAGGAACCGGCAGAGGGAATGGATAGCTTGGCAAATCTCTTTCCTTTTTCTCTTAGCCACACAACTGGGCTCCATTGCTCAGCCCAGCTTTCAGTGAGGTGTGTCCAGTGACTGGTCTCCGGCCAGCAGGTTTCCAGACTCTGCCTGCTCCGGCCACCCAAGCTCATGGTGAAGCCTTGATGCCCTCAAACACTGAGGGGGGTTATCGGGGATCGAACTCGGGACCTTGAGCTTGCGAGGCAGCACCACCGAGCTCAATCCCTGACCCCGTAAACCTCTTTTCTTTATAAATGATCCAGCCTTGGGTATTGTTGGTACAGCACCACAAAACAGACTAAGATGATGTCTATGAAAACATCCCATGCACAGGAAGGTATGGTGACGTGTTTCTGTCAGCCCAGCTACTCAGGAAGCTGAGTCAGGAAGATCACAAGTTTGAGTCTAACCTGAGCAACTTAGTGAGATCCTACGTGAAAATAAAAAGTTTAAAAACATTGGAGATGTAGCTCAGCTAGCATGTTTAAGGCCCTGGATTCAATACCTAGCACTGAAAACAAAAATCCCATGCATAGTTCTCTCTCTACCTGCCTGCACCATGAATGTATTCTGCAGAAGACCCTAGGGATGCAGGGCCACCTGCATGGGTCACAAGGCCTGTTCCTAACCCCCATACCAATGGACTTTATTTTTGGTTTTTTTTTTTTGCTATATTGCCCTGCTTGGCCTCCAAGTCCTAGGCTCAGCAATTTTCCTGCCTCAGCCTCCTGCAAACCTGAGATGACAGGCATGTGTCACCGTGCCTGGTTATGACTGGACTCCACGTAAGCAAGAAATAGAAGCCTCCTGAGCGGTGAAGTCGGTCAGGGGCGAGATGTTTATAGAAGGCGATCCTGGGTCCGCACCTTGGTTTACAGTCTCTTTCTCCACCCACCCACTGACACAGACCTTGTCCCCAAAATCAGCTGACCTGGAGGCAGACAGCGAGAGAGAGGAGAAGGCCAGCCAGAGAAGAGCCGAGGCACCTACCGGAGTCCCCCAGGGGAGGATGCTGCCTCACCTTGTCCAGGTAGATGATGAGGGTATTCTTGTTGGCAAAGGCTTTGTCTAGCTCGTACTTGGAGATGTATCTGTCCACACCGGTGGTCAGCTGGGGAAGGGTGGGTGACAACGTCTTCTAGAATCCTCTCGCCACTGCCTCCTCCAGGCCCCAGGCTCCTCCCTCATGGCCGCAGCCCTCAGCCCCCGGCCCCTCCTACCAGTTTGAGGTCATCTGTGTCAGGAACAAAGCCAGTCATCATGGATATGTCCAGGATGGACATCGTGGCATCCTGGTCTCCTAGGTACCTGGACAGGGGCAAGAAGAAGCACTGTGAGGCCCAGAGTGGGGGGCATCCCTCAGGGGCTGTCCCTGAATGGGAGGTTCTGACCAGAGGTCAAAGCCCTTGATTCCTCCCGGGCACCTAAACCGACGTTCAAGTTTAGGAAACACTTCTCCAAGGGCAAAGGATGGAAATGTCGTTTAATGGTCAAGGGCAGGAGGACTTCAGGCTCTGGATCCAAGTGCATGGGCTTAAATCCTATCTTTCTGTAACATCTGGTGAGCTATTCAGTCCCTTCAGTGCCTCAGTTCTTCTATGAAATGAAAACAAGAATACGAGCCGTTCTTATTTTGGGGGAGTCAGCTCTCCCGAATAACACCAGTTCCCCCGTGAAAGAGTTCAAATTCGGGCATCAGTATAGATCCAATATGTCCTTAAGCCTCATATGTTTGGGTGTTGGTCCCTGGTGTGCAAAAGTGAAGTCTCTGTTACAAGAGCTCTAACTTCATCGGTGGATCGAAGGATTAACCCAGGGGCATGACTTTGACTGGTGTATTTTGTCTCCAGCCCTTTCTTCGCCGGCTCTCTGCCGTTTCTGTTTCTGGGCCTCCATGAGGTGACCAGTTTTCCTCCGCCATACCCCTCTGCGAAGATGGAAACCCACAGCCCACTGGACCAAGGTGGAAAGATGGGAAAGGGTATCCTTGAGTCCTGATCCACAAAGACATGAAAATAGAGGTGGGGACAAGGGGACCGACAGGGCCCTGAGGTCCATTCTCTTGCACCCCTGAAAAAGGGGGGGTTTGATTAAAGGCAGAGATGAACCCCCCTGTGGCCCGGCTTCTTACCTGGCGCATATGCCAAGGATCATGGTGTTCTTGGCATCCTGAGGCTTCTTGACTAGAAACACAGAAGACAGAAAGATGAGAGAGGGCATCCCCAGGTCCTGATCCAGAAGGGCGTTAGCACGGAGATGGAGGCAAGAGGACAGAAGGGGCTTTTCCTGCTCTCACCTGTAACAGGGGCTGGGCTTACAGTGACCCTGAGGTCGAACTTCTTGCAGGAGACCTTGCCTCTGCCCTTGGCGTGGTACATAGTCACCACCTGGACAGAATGGGGGGAAACAGAGCCCCAGGGGAGCTGAGAGGCCGAGGACCAGGAGGAGAGAGTCCCTGGGGGCAGAGGGCCCAGGGAAGCCCCCGTTTCTCACCGACAGTGTGCCTTGGCCCTTCCCTTTAGCTGTCAACGTGAAACCCTCGTTTTGCTTGGTCTGCAGAGTGGGAGAGAAGAGAAGGCGTTAGGAGCCGAGTCTCCCCGACCGATGGGTCCCACGCTGGTCATCTGGCCTCCCTCCTCCTCCCGGCGTGCCCTGGTGGGTGTGATGGGTGACAGTGGCCAGGACGGCCCAGTGGCGGTACCTCTTCTGACCGCAGGAGGCTACCGGCTTCCCAGATGAGGCGATGTTTGATCTGGGAACTGCGGCTGGGCAGCTGTAGGGCCACCTCCATGTTCAGGTCCTTGTGATCGGGGACGTCGGTTTGGTACTGGGCCAAGGCTTGGAACACCAAGAAGGTGGCCTGGAATCCACGACAGAAAGGGTGGGTGAGGAGGTATCAGCCTGAGAGACTGGCTAGGACCACCGGGGGTAAAGATTCGGGCCAGAGTTAGGACAATAAGACTATGCCTCAAACACATCGTAGCGGGGAGGTGGGAAAGTCCTGGCTACTGAGCATTTGCCCTGAGACTCTGTGACTGAAAGGGGCTCAGACTCCTGACAATAAGTCTGTGGCCTAGAGCCCCCCGGAGAGTGAAGGTGAGACCGGAGGTCCTTAGACACTGAGGACGTGTTCTAGAACTCTTGATGGTACAGAACTTAGACAAGAACTTAGAGGGCTGAGCATAGCTAGCACCCACCAGAAAATCCAGCTCTAAGACTGAAGGCCTAGAAACACTGATAATGTGTTCTAGAACCATCCAGAGGAGAGACTCTTAGACCAGGGCTGAGGGATCCTGAAACAAGTCTAGAATATTCTCATGGGGGGGGGAATAAAATTAGAACCCAGGGACACTGACTCCAAAAGTGATACTGAGAATCTGATTGAGAGCCCTCCAGAATGACAGGAGGTCAGGAGGATGGAGGCTGAAGTTACTGAGAAGTCTAGAAAGCACTGGGGGTGGTGGGGGTGGATAGTGTCCCAGGAGAACTGAGAACCTGCTCTGGAACCCACCAGTGGGACTGGGAGCCTAGTAAAACTAGCACCTGCTGTAGAACCTATCAAGGAGAGAGGGAGGCTGAACCTGGATTCCTAGAATATAGTCTGTAACCAGGAGAGAACAGGAGGCTCCAAACAAAGCACGGAGCACCTAGAACGTAGTCTAGAACTTGGAGTTGGACTTCTCCACTTCCCGTCTATCCACCTGGATTATGGGACAGAGGAACTGCCTGTCTGAGTGTCAGAGTCTCCTCTGGGAGGCCAGTGACAGGCTGAAGCGGGCAGTGAGACATCCAGGGGTGGGCCCTTGCCTGGGTGGAGCCATAGCCGCCCCCGTAGTATCTCTGCTCGTTGAGCCAGCGCACAACCGGAGGCACAGTGTCAAAGTCTCTCAGCAGCAGCAGGGCCAGGAGGGCGTAGGACGTGGCTTCCACACTGTACAGCTTCTGACCAGCCTCCTCCCAGCGGTTCTTCTCTGCAAAGAGAACACCCCCAGCCCCAACATCGCTGTCTGTCCAGCCCGGGAGTGGCTCAGGGTATGCTCCCAGAGACTCAAGCTAGAAGGTTAGGTGTTCGGGTCTCTCAGCTGCTGCCTGCTTCCTCTTTATGCAAACGCTCACCAGCACTGTGGGGGGCCTTGCACCCCAGCTTGGCTTGGGGCCATCCACCCCTGCTCAGGATGCCCTCCTTTAAGCCCCAGCCACGCGGCCCCCTTGGGGCTGCCCTCACCTGTGGCCGCACTCCTAAATTTAACCAGGAGGGGGCCGTCCAACTTGTCCAGCTGGGCCAGGGCGTAGCCAGCAATGGCCACAGTGTAGGGCCTCTGCAGGTTTTCGTATTTGGATGCAATGTAATCTCCGGCTTTGGCGATGCTGTTCGGCAGGCTCTGTAGGAATACCGGGCGGGTAGTCTGGTCAGGTGGGCACCCCCCCCAAAAAAAAGACCTAAAGGGAAAATGAACGCTGGTCATTATTACCGCAGTGATGGCCAGTGTCATCCAGAAGACTAAACCTCACTGTTCCCTTGCTGCGTGGCCACTTGGTAATGGCCAGTCATGTAGGGTGACTGGGGCTGGCATTTTTTGATCTCTTGTGCTCAAGGCTGATCATTTTGTGGTTAGGTCTTCTTTCTGGGGAAACCCGGCATCACCACCATGGACAGCTGGTAAAGACCATGCGACCACCATATTTGGGCCACTGGGATGATGTCTGCCCTGGAGACGTCTCTGCCTTGGATCTATTTTTGAGGCTTTTTCAAACACTGTAGCCACCCTGGAGCTGTCTTGTTGATGCATACCTCTCAGGTGCCTGGAGTAGTCCGTACAGCCCACAGTGCGCTGCTAAATGGGGGGCAACAGGCCGATGGCGGCCCTGGATTACAACAGTTGCCCCTTCCGGTGGTGTAAATACTCCCACGGGGCCAACGTCCAAGTGCCAGGGGGCGCCACTGAGCAAATGTTGCCAGAACAGAGCTCCGACAGGCAGGGGAAATTAGTAAGGCGGCGCCAGACTGGGCGGCTGCTGGGAACACTGCTCAGCCCTTCTCCCGGTAACAGGATGCTCGGGTCATGTCTATTTAGTGAACCACATAAAAGCCCATGGGAAGAGCTTGCCCACGCCTGAGGAGGTGGTGATTTTGCCCAGGTAAGAATAGCACGGGCCGGGCGTGGTGGCCCACGCCTGTCATCATCCCAGCACTCGGGAGGCTGAGGCAGGAGGATCGCTGTGAATTCGAGACCAGCCTGGGCTACACAGTGAGTTCCAGGTCAGGCTCAACTACACAGTGAGACCCTGTCTCAAAAAAACAAAACAAATCAACAACAACAAAAAAGAATAGTGCAGCGGGGTCCCCGCCTCCCCTCCAGCGGTGGGCGTGGCCGGCGCAGGGTGGAGATTTAAAGGGCACTTACGTTGATCTGCCCTTCGCAGATCTCTTTAGCCTCCTTTAGCGCGATGAGCACAAAGGCAGTGAGGGACACATCAGCCTCCTGGGTGTTCCGGAAACCGCCCTGGAGAGGGAGCAGAAAGCACGTGGTGGGTCACCATGTGTCTCCACGCGGCAGTCAAGGTCCCTGCAGAGTCGGGAATCTGGGCCGGGTAAGGGGCTCCTTCTGGGGCTCTCTCTCCCCCCACCACGAAGGCCAAACTCTTTTTTTCGATTTTTTATTTTTCTATGGACTGAGGATTGAAGCCTGGGCCTTTGCACTGAGCTCCGTGCTCCACTCTTTTAATTTTTTATTTTGAGACAGAGTCTTGCTAAGTTACTAAATTGCCCGGGCGGGGCTCAGAACTATGATCCTCCTGCCTCAGCCTTCCGGAGCGCTGGGATGACAGGTGCCCAGGGGTCAAATTCTTTAGTACGAAGTTATTCGATCATTTTTTTTTCATTCATGCAAATATCAGTGGAGGCACAGTGCGGGCTCCTCAGATATAACGGTGAATGGAAGCCAGGCCCATCCCTCACGTGGCTTCTAGTCTAACAGGGAAGATGGAGGTGAACCAGCCAGCTGCTCCACAGAAACACAGATGCCCCTCAGCTTATGATGGGCTGGCATCCTAAATAAACCCATGGTAATGTAAAATATCGTAAGCCAAAATGCCATCAGTGTACTTAATGAGGTGGCTATCTCATGTAGTTTACTGAGCTTATTTTTTACCCTACTGAAAGTTGGAATGATTGCAATAGCGACACCTTTGCACCATCATTAAATGGAAAAAAAAAATCAAAACTTGAGCCATTACGGTTCAAAGGCCATCTGTGTTCATTACAAGCTCATAAATGCTATGCAGACAAGAACACAGCAGCGAATGAACTGTGGAGTTGGCCCAGTCAGGGAGGACGGGAAAGCTGTCCATGAGGAATTACAACTGAAGCTCCGATCTCAAAAGTAGGACTCGACTGTCAGTGAAGGCAGGAGGAGCATGTGCAAAGGCCCTGTGGCAAGATGGCCAGGCTTCTTTCCATATGGACGTAGTAACAGGAAAGGCTGTGTGGCCTGAATCCTGAGGGTCAGACTAGAGCACTGACTGGCGTCTTGAGCACACATCAGCATCACTTGGGAAGGGGGAGGGCTTGTTAAAGCTCGGAATTTCCAGTTCGATAACAGGCCCGGGGTCCAGTCTCAGAATGTACATTTCTGATAACTTTGTGGCTGCTGTCACTGCTGGTTGGAGGGCCACATTCTGAGAAGCACAACTCTGTGTTTATTTAGAGCCATAGGCAGCCTTGAGACTCTCTAAGGAAGGACGTTATCAGATTTGAATAAAGCTTCCCACCGGCTCCAGCCAATGTGGATTTGGTTTCCAGGAAGAAGTGACGGCCACCACACATGTGGAAAGGTACTGGCTCATTTTACAGGGGAAAGGCAGGGCCCGGCCCATTATACGTACATACACATATACGTACATGGGCACATCCAGCCCGGGACGCTCAGGCGCCCCTCTCCCCGACTCTGCCCCAGATCCCAGCTTCTTACAATCATTTCTTGGTGTATCACGGGCCCGTCCTCCTGGAAGACTCCGTCAGGCTTCTGCTTCTCCAGAATGAGCCATTTCACGGCCCCGCAGAGGACCTGGGAGTCGATGGCGATGAGGTTGACCGCCAGGGAGAAGACCTTCACCACGTAGGCCGTCAGCCTGAGGGCGCGCGACAGAGAGTGAGCCAATCAGCTCTGGGATCCAGAGCGTGCCGTCATCCCTACCAGCCAATGAGCAGGGAGGGGCGGGGCCCAGCGCCACCTGCTCTTTACCGTGCGGCCGGACTCACCAAGTGCTGGGCTTGCGGTTCAGGAAGGCTGCGTAGGCCGAGCTGGGCTGTCTGAAAGCCAGCTGCTGGGTGTACCCTGCAGGGAACGACAGTCACCAGAGGGAGGGACCTAGGGGGCGGGGCGCTGGATCCCCACAGAGCTGCGCGCACCCTTCTTGATGAGGTCCAGGGCCGCCTGTCGCTTCTCCAAGCCGAACTTCTCCCACTGCTCCGTCTGATCCAGGTAGTGCACCGCGATCACCGTGGGCGTCATGCCGATCATGTTCTGTTCCCCACAGCCCGAGGGGGTCACGATCAGGTGCTTCAGTCGCTCCCCATCCACGGCGTCCTCGGTCATCTGAGTCACTGGGGTCCCTGCCGCCGGCGGTGGGAGGACCCTGCTCCAGCCAGGTGCCCACAGCGTCCGTCCCCAGCCTCCCACCACCCAGGGACAAGTAGGAACTGGGAGTGGAGGGTGACAGCGGGCCACAGGCACTGCGGAGCAGGGGGGCGTGAGCTCCGCAGGGGTCCTGTTCCTGGCTCTCCTTTCACCAGCTGTAAAACACCGCTAGCCCTGGATACTTGTACTGCTTAATGTTACCTGCTAGGGTCAGCTCTGAGGGCACCGTGCAGTATCTCATTTAACACCACAGCCATGTTTGGCGGTGGGTCCTATTCCACTCCTATCAGAGACCAGGGAACTGAGGCTCTTGCCCGAGAGTCTTACAGGTCCAGGGCTGCCAGGCCGCCCTTCATCTTCCATCCTGGGTAATAATTTGCACCATTTCTGCTTTTGGATTATGTGACTTCTCATATGAATTTTATGCGTGTTTTTTTTTTCTTTCTTTCTTTTTTGTTATTTGTCAGCACTGGGGATTGAATGTGGACCTTTGCACTGAGCTACATATTCAGCCCTTTTTATTTATTTATTTTTATTTTGAGACAAGGTCTCGCTAAGTTGCCCAGGCTGGGCTCAAGCTTGGGCTCCTCCTGCCTCAGCCTCCCAGACTCATGGGATCACAGATGCGCCAGCACTGCCAGCCTTCCATCTGAATGTATTTATCCGCTTTGCTGACCTCCATCCGCCGCGGAGAAGCTCCCACGAAACAGATCCATGAGGCACTAGTCTAGCTTACCAGGAGGAGGCGCTGCAGTTAATCACCTCTGACTAGATGGCGCTCAGCCCCCTCCTGGTGGCCGCCCCTGACGCCTTCCTGGGACCCACGGCAGCAGGGCTAAGGGGACCTCACCCTGGAGGAGAATCCTGGTCTCAGAGTCTGTGTCTGGGACTTGATCGCTGAGGTCTGCGGGCGGAATGTCCTCTCTCTGCACTCCACCTGCAGGGGCGTGGGAGGAACATGGCACCAGCACCTCCCATGCCCGCTCCACCGCCAGGCCCAGGTCGTGCCCCTCCTGGCTCACCTTGGCCCAGGTGCTCCGGGTCCAGAGTGCGAACAGCCACTGTTTTGTTGACTCTGATGCCTTCCGGCTATGTGCACGGTGGGGAGGGAGTCAGGTGAACATAAAGACAGACAGACACAGAGGTGAGCAAGGTGCTGCTCTGAGAGTTATGCCAGTTTGGGTACTGCGGTGCCAGAACCTGACGCCTTCCCCTTCCTGTGTGACCCAACCTCTCTGTGCTTCAGCCTCCTGCTACCATAAAGAAAAGACAATGAAACCACCTACCTTATCCTGTCCTACAGAGTCATCCCAAAATTCTAACTCAGAAATGAAATAATGATACTTTTTGAAATCTTCACAAGCTTCGAGAAACTGCGGTCAGGGTAACTCATTCAGTGATCTCAGTCTGACGAGGTGGAACTATTGCTGTCATTACTGGATTTGCCCCCCACCCACCCACCAGTGGTACTGGATATTGAATGCCAGGGCCTTCACACTGAGCAACATCCCCAGATCTTTTTTATTTTTTTAAATTTTGGGATAGAGACTTGCTAAGTGACTAATTAACCGGGCTGGGCTCCAACTTGCAATCCTCCTGCCTCAGCCTCCCAGAGTGCTGGGATTACAGGCATGCGCCACCGTGTCCAATTTATTTTCATTTCTTCATATTGCTTTTGTTTGCTTATTTGTTTGTTTCTGGTGCTGGAGATGGAACCTGGGGACAGTGCATGATAAACAAGTGCTCTACCACTCAGCTACATCCCCAGGCCACGTTTAGGTCTCTTAAAATGTTACAGGAAAGCATTCTAAGTCTACAAACACGGAAAGGAACCTGTGGAAAGATGGTGACGGATGCACAACAATATGAATGTTCTCAGCATCACTGAATTGTACCCTTAAACATAGTTAAGGTGGTAGATTTTGTGGTATGCATATTTTACTATAATAAAAAATTGAAATAAAAGGGCTGGGGATTTAGCTCAGTGGTTCTGCTGTCTGCCTCGAAAGCACAAGGTCCCAAGTTCGATCCCCAGTACAAAAAAATTAAATTAAATTAAATTAAAGAGTATCACCAGCGGGATATGGTGGCACACACCTGCAGTTCCTGCACTATGGGAGGCTGAGGCAGGAGGATGGAACATTCAGGCCCATCCTGCACAATTTAGCCAGATCTTGTCTCCAGATAAAAAGTGCTGGGGATGTAGCATGCTAAAGAGCACCCCTAGGTTTGGTTCCCAGGACCATAAACAAACAAACAAACAAAAAACCCATGTAATAGAAAACATCACTTATAGCAGCGATCATGATACAGAAAATCGCTACACTAACATCTTATTGATGCAGATTTGCTGATCTTTTCGGTGGCCCCTAAGATTCCGTGCCCAGGGCATCTCACTCGCTTGATCCGGATCCCTGTTCGGCTCCCAAACGTCTGGCCCTTCTACAGCTCCGAAGCGGGCGCTGTGAAGACGACTTCCGCGGGTCACTCACCACGACTTTGAGGGTCTTCTTCACGCCGTCGCTGATGAAGTGATTGTAGACGGCGGCCTTGACCTCCACCTCCTGCAGGCCGATCTTCAAGGGCACGATGACGTAGGGTACCGGCAGCGAGGACTTGGGCGGGATGGTCACCGTCTGGTAGTGGCGCTTCTTGGCGGTGGCCAGGCTGCAGAAGGCCGGGTTGTGGAGCAGCTCCACCCTCACCTGCCCCGGAGAGGAGAGGGGAGGCGTCACCGCGCTGCCCGCGCCCGGCCCGGCCCGCTCCCCTCCACCTTGAGAGCCCACCTTGAGACTCTGGTCCTCGCGATAGTTGTAGAGGACGGCGCGGATCTCCACCTGCTCGTTGCGCACCACTGAATAGGGCAGCCGCAGGTCGATGAAGAAGTCCTGCACCACGGTGATCTCGTAGGGGTCGGCCACGCAGATCCCTGCACGCACGGAGACAGAACCCCGCGTGTCAAGGCAGGGTGGACACCGCTGGGCTCCCGCGGGAGCTGGGCCTGGCTCAGCCCGTCTTGGCCCAAGCACGGACACTACACTCCGCTAGCGACGGTTAGGTCCAGCGGTGCGGGGGCTGGGAATGGCCATTACTTAATGCTTTCCAGTGAAGTTCGAGGCCCGGATTTGTAGGGAGGAGGAAAAAAATGTAGCACTGTGTGGCGGCCCATGCCTGTCATCCCAGCACTCTGGGAGGCTGAGGCAGGAGGATTGCAAGTTCAAGCCCGGTCTAAGAAGTTTGGCAACTTAATGAGAGAATTTTTCTTTTTTAAGAGTTGGGGATGCTGGGTGTGGTGACACACATCTATCATCCCAGCACTCGGGAGGCTGAAGCAGGAGGGTCACCAGGAGTTCGAGGACAGCCTGGGCTACACAGTGAGACCTAATCTCAAAAACATTTTTTAAAATGTATTTAGTCTAACATCTAAACTCAAACCCTACTACGCATCATGAATATACATAACAGCACCAGTGGTATACACGACAGTGCATTTTAAGAGGTTAACGTGTATGGCTGTATGAATGAAATCTACATTTATGAAGAAATAGCGCTAGATCCGGGAGCTGGAAAATGCTTACGGACACTTGTGATAACTATTCAGCTGTGGCATTAAACCTCAAATACAGAGCAAAGTATCCCCATCCTAACCGAGTGGATTCCAAGTGCTAAGTGCACCCTTGATTTTCTAAGCACAAAGAGAAGATACTACGGATAATGCTGACATATTAGTAAGTCATTAAATGTCAATAGATTTGTTGCTATGACATTGTTAGTGTACTAGTGATTTGGAGACTTTTTATAGAACGTTACAAAGATGCTATCTGGGGACAGATAAATGCATTATAATAATAAATTATATCAACTATATAATTCATAAATTAAAATATATTATCTCATATTCCATGCCATTATATATTATATAAGATCTGCTGTTATATGATTTATAGCATATATCTGATTATACATGTTAATAAGAGAAATACGAATCATTTGTAATTATATATTTAGTCATATTTACATATTAAAATTAGGTTATAATAAATTACACTAAGTTCTGGTTTGGATATATAAAATATTTGCACTAAGTGTCATAAGTTGTTGTTTTTTTTTGAGACAGGGTCTCATTACGTAGTTGAGACTGACCCGGAACTCACTATGTAGCCCAGGCTGGTCTCCAACTCACAGCGATCCTCCTGCCTCAGCCTCCCTAGTGCTGGGATGACAGGTGTGCGCCACCACACCCGGCTGTCCTAAATTCAATATACTTATTTTTCCTTGTGTCTCACCACTTCAGTGCTCTGGGAAAAGGTATATAAAATGTGCACATTTCCCCTGTTGCTGAAGACTCCAGGATGTCTCGGCATGGCACTGGTCTCTAAAATGTGGTGTTTCCTGTAGCATGGTGGTTTTCATGAGTCCGCTTTGAGTCCACTTTCGAAGAGCGCCGGGCAGTGTTCTTTATCATGTGACTGAGCTTTGGGACGAGCCCTTCTGTTTCATGCCCATGGGTACTGCTCACTCTCCTTTGCCTGCACCTGGGCCTGCCCTGAGCCATCGCATGTGACCAGGGCCAGCCAAGGTCTCACCAGGCTGCTGGTGGCTGGGATGGGGCTACGGGAGAAGGGCCACCCAGTGCTGCCTTTTGTCACCTTCCTCCACCTGCCTGTCGATGTCAGAATCTCACGATTCCTCTTTGCTTAATCAATCTGCCGGCTCTCAGGTTGACATCATCCCTTAGAAGTTTTTGTTGTTGCGAACTCTTCTGCAGGACACACTTGCCCCAGCCAGCTGTGGATGGTTTGTGACACGGCTGGCAGGAGGGGAGGGAGAGGGAGGCCAGTGCCCAGCTATAAACTATGAGGGCCACCCCGGAAATTCAGATTCGTTCGGTGAGCCGGGCATGGCGGTGCACACCTGAAACCCCAGCACCGAGAGAGGCTGAGGCAGGAGGATGGAAAGCTCAAGCCCAACGTGGACAACATAGTGACTTAACAAAACGCTGTCTCAAAACCAAAAATGAAAATGGGGCTGGGGATGCAGTTCAGTGTGACGGCCCTTGTTTCAAGTCCTAGCATTAAAAAAAAAAAAAAAAAAAAAAATAGAACCCTACATAAAACTACAGACTCTGAGTAATAATGTATCAGTGTAAGTTCGGCAGTTATAACAAATGGATCACTCCAAAGGGAGCCACAAAACAGCCGACCTGTTCAGTTTGTTTGGATAAGGAAATGCCAGGGCCCCTGGTGCCCTTTCTCACCTTTTTTGTCCGACAAGCTCACGGCCAGAATCTCCCAAGTAGTGATGCTGTCTTTCAGAAAGATGTTCATGGTCTTCGTGGAGATTCTGGGTGGGAGAGAGGTGGGGCATGAGACTTGTGGCAGGGCGGAGGGCTCCGGCTGTGCACACCCAGGTAACCCAGCTCTTGACTTCTAGGCTGGGCTGTGGGTTCCATGACTGCTGGAGGCAGGAAGGGGCAGGGGCACGCAAATGAAACGGTGACCATCGGTGCCAGCCCGGGGTAGGATGCGGGGTGGGGGGCACCCAGAGCTACCCGTTCTTCTCTGGATCCTTCAGCTCTTCTGTGGTCCACAGCCAGCTCTCTGGAAAGTGACTTCTGGAAATGATGTCTTCCTCCGGGATAATGTCCTCATCCAGGTCATCTGAAAGGGGTCAGATCTGGGTTTAGAAAAGACCGGCTTTCCTCGCTGCCTGGGAGGAATTCACAGCTTGGGGAAATGCCCAGGATTGTGCAACGGCTTTTCATGATTCCTAGACACGTGTGCCTTTTGGGGCTCCTCCCTCTGTAAAAATATTAAATAGTCTATTTTGCAAATGTGTTGGTGTAAAGATGAATATAATCCAGGCTGGGGGTTTTCAGCAATGAAAGCATTCGCATGGGCTTTCTCTAATGGGCCAGTAGGTCCTGGGTGCCACCAGGGGGCTGAAAGTGTCCCCAGACTTGGTAAAGGCCACGGGAGAAATGGTGGCCCTTCCAAACCATCTTGACACTGGATGCAGTGGTCGAATGGGACAACACAGAGCCCATCAAAAAAAAAAGTTAAAAAATTAAATAACTAAAAAACAGAAAGGTATGATGGTGCAGGCCTGTAATCTCAGCTACTCTGAAGGCTGAGGTAGGTGGATCGCAAGTTCAAGCCCAGCCTGAGCAATTTAGCAAAGACCCTGCCTCAAAAGAAAACAAAAAGGGTCTGGGGAAGTAGTGCAGCACCACAAAAGCAAGCAAACACATAAATAAAATTGGCCACACTTGGTGTGGTGGTGCACACTTGTCATCCCAACACTAGGCAGGCTGAAGCAGGAGGGTTGCCACAAGTTCAAGGCCAGCCTGGGCTACATAGTGAGACCCTGTTTCCCCAAAACAACCCAAAATAATAATAATAATAATAATAATAA